GTGAGAGTTTTGCTTCCAGGTAGAGTGCAGTGGTCGTGTGATGCAAATGTTTCTGCTGTAACACCTAGAAAAAGGTTGATTTATGACAAAAAATATCATCTTTTAAAAAGACATTAGAAAGCTATGACAGCAACAAAAACTGGACAAGCTAAAATTTCAGAGAGGGGAGAGCCCTTGAGACAGGAGTTCACCTCTACCTTCTCCTTGGGAGCATTCTCCAATTCTGGGCATGGGTAAAGATCAACTATGGCCCAGCAAAGGAACTCTCCTCTGGGAAAGAGAAACCAGTGAATGTTTAGTGTTTGTGTGGCACTGACATGAGGAATTAGAAACTAGAGAAGCCAGAAATGCATGGCCAGTTTTCCCCATGAGATATTTGTTAATGTCTAAGATGTGCAGAATCTGGGCTGGAAGCTTGTAAAAGGCACAGTGACCTTCCTCAATCAAGCAGCTCTTAGAAGACAAAGATCTCATCATAAGTAGATGAGCCTGCCTCAAAAACATGGCCATTCTCTCCCTCAGACAATTGGAAGATTTTGAAGCTGTATGGGACAGGATGCTAGAGAAAGAAGCTAGAAACCTGTACAGGGTAGAACTAAACCTCTTGCAATCTTTCGTGATGGAGGAGACAGACCATTCAGGCTCTCAATCAAAAGACTGAGAAGACCAGGCCTGAGGAACAGGCACAAAGCAGAGGTGAAATGAGTCTCACTAAAAGCACAATGCAGGCCGGGCGCGGTGGCTCACGCCTGTAATCCTAGCACTTTGGGAGGCCGAGGTGGGCGGATTGCTCAAGGTCAGAAGTTCAAAACCAGCCTGAGTGAGACCCTGTCTCTACTATAAAAAAATAGAAAGAAAATATAGAAAAAATTAGCCGGGCATGGTGGCACAAGCCTGTAGTCCCAGCTACTCAGGAGGCTGAGGCAGGAGGATTGCTTGAGCTCAGGAGCTTGAGGTTGCTGTGAGCTAGGCTGACGCCATGGCACTCACTCTAGCCTGGGCAACAAAGCGAGACTCTGTCTCAAAAAAAAAAAAAAAAAAGCACAATGCATCCCAGACCCAACTGGATCCTGAATTAAATTGAAATGGGGGCACAGAGGGAAAGGTGCTCTGATGGAAGGCACTATTTGGAACCTATGCAATTCTGTTATCACAATGTTTGGCTAACAATGAAAATTACTAAACATGGGAAGGGGAAGGAAAATGTCACCCATAATCAAGAAATAAAATAGACAATAAAAGAAGCAGGCCCCTAAAGGATCCAAATATTGAAGTCAGCAAAAACTTAAAAGTAACTATGATTAATAAAAAATAAATATAAGATGATATGGACAAAATGGATGAAGGCAAAAAAGTTTCAAAGAATAATTGCAATCTATGGAAAGTAAAAGACCCAGAATAGCCAAAATAATGTTGAAAGAGAACGAAATTAGAGGACTTATAGTTTGTTTTAAAACATACTACAAAGCTACAATATCCAAGATAATGTGGTATTAATATAAGATAGATATAGAGATTGATGGATCAGAATTGAGATTCAAGACATAAACCCTTACTGTCATTGTCAATTGATCTCTGCCAAATATGCAATGCTACTCAATGGATAAAAGAACAGGATTTTTAAAAATGGTGCTGGGAAAATTGGATATTTACATGCAAGAAGATTGATTTAAACCCTTATCTCTACCACACACAAAAATTTACTCAACATGGGTCATATTCCTAAATGTAAGAGCTAAAACTATAAAAATCTGAGAAGAAAACATAGAAGTAAAACTTCTTGACCTCACAAAGATTTCTTAGACATGACGCCAAAAGCATAAGCAATATGAGAAAAAATTGGTAAATTGAAATTTAAAATGCTTACACTTTATACACTGTTAAGAAAGTGAAAAGATGAGTCACAGACTGAGAGAAAATAGTTTTAAAACAATATATTCAATAAGGAGCTTGTATTCAGAATATATAAAGAATGCTTACAGCTCAATAATAAAAATATAATACAAATAACCCAATTTAAAAATGGGTCATAAATTTAATAGATAGTTCATCAAAGAAGCTATGAATGACCAATAAACACATGAAAATATGCTCAATAACATTAGTTATTAAAGAGATGCAAATTAAAACCACAAAGAAATACCTCTTACAACACGTATGAATGACTACAATAAAAAAGACAGATAATAAGTATTGGTGATGATATGGAGAAACTGAAATCTCATATACTGCTAGTAGTTAGGTAAAATGGTGCAGCCACTTAGGAAAGCAATTTTTCAGTTACTTAACATGTTAAACATGAATTTACCATATAACCCAGCAATTCCATTTCTACATACCTACCCAAAAGAAATGAAAACATATGCCCATACAAATGTTCCTAGTGGCATTATTCATAATAGCCCAAAACTGGATCCAAATGTCCATCAACTGGTTAATGGATAAATAAAATGAGGGACATGCATCGAATACTAATATACAATGGAATATTATTCAGCAGTTTAAAGGAATAAAATACTGCTACAGGCTAAAACATGGATTAATCATGAAAACATGAAAACATTATGCTAAGTATACCCCAAAGACCACATATTGTATGGCTCTACATATATGAAATGTCAAGGAAAGGCAAATCTGTAGAGAAAATAGATTAGTGGTTGCCTGTGGCTGAGGGTGAAATGGGGAATGGATGCAAATGGACATGAAGTTTTTTTTGGAGCATAGATGTATTCTAAAATTAGATTTTGATGATAGTTGTACAACTTTGAATATGCAATATATTAAAAATTATTAAATTGTTCACTTAAAATGATTGAATTTTATAATATATAAATTCTCTCTCAATGAAGTTATTTTTTAAAAGATTTGACTAGAAAAAAAAAGAATCAACTGGACATTCCAGAAATTAACAATATAGTATCTTAAATTAAGAACTCATTGGATCAGCAACAGACAGGAACAGTAAATTCAAAGTTAAGTCAACAGAAAATATATAAACTAAAGCACAGAAACAAGAAAAGCATTTTAAAAAGAACAGAGCATAAGAGACATGTGAGGCTCAGCCAAATGGTCTGACATACATGAGTAGCACAGAATGGAACAGAAGCAATATTTTATTTTTTATTTATTTTTTATTTTTTTTATTTTTTTTTAATTTAAGCCCAGGTCCTGAGGGAAAGAAGCAATATTTTAAACACACTGGCCAAGTATCTTGACACTAATGAAAGAAAGATTAAACACACACACACACATACACACAGTACAAAACTGCTGAAAATCAATGACAGAAAACAAATCTTGAAATATCCAGAAAAAACAAATTAACCTCAAAGAAACAAAAATAAGGCCGATGGCTGACTTTTTAGCCAAAATTGTGAAACAAAAAGACAATGGATCGGTATCTTTACTGCTAACCAAGAATTATGACACACAGTTTAATTATCCTTCTATAAAGGCAAAATAAAGACACTTTCAGACAAGCAAAGGCTGAAGAATTTGTTACCAGCAGACACTTGCATTATGAGTAACAGCAAAGGAGGTTATCCTGGATGAAGAAAAGTGATTTCAGAGCGAAGCATGGAATATTGCAAAGAAATGAAGAGACCTAAGAGGGTAAATAATGTAGGTACATAGAAAACAATATTGAAGGTTTTAAACTACCATAATAATACTGTCATATATTGATATCTATTAGAAATATATATGCATGTATAAGTATGGGTAGATGTGTACATATAAAATGGAAATAGCGGTTAATTCTGGGGTGGGAGAGTTTTCATTTTCTCTTCTATAATTTTCCATATTTACCCAGCTTACCCTTCCCCTTTACAGTAAGACTTGGGTGACTAAAGGCCTGGAGGCTGACACCCCAGAGCACCAGTGCAACAGCCTTAAGTGGGGCGAACACAGCAGAAGAGCCGCGACACCTCCTGCCTGGCCAGCCGAGCTCTCCCATAAACAGGCTGTTCCTGCTGCCTCTTCGAGACTTCATTTCCATTCTGTGAAATGCTCATTTTCAGTTAAGATCTCCTGTGTTGTTGTTTTAGGAGAGTAGAGGCGTGCTCAGGACTTCAGAAGTCCATATTAACCTATGGCGATGAGAGGGGAGGGATACACACACACACACACACACACACACACACACACGCGCGCGCGCGCGCATATTTGTGCAGTTACTTCTTTTGCTAGAGGGCCTCAAATCCTGTCTTAAAAGGAGAAGGGACGTCTTCCATCAATGACACATGCATAAACATGGGAATGACTAATGTGACCAAACAGGACCCAGCTGGCCCATAGTCTCCTGGACGTCAGAGGATTTTGCCTTTTGCTCCCCGCTGCTGGACATGTAGTGGGTGTTGTCTCGCCCTCACTGTCAAGAGGCCAGGTCCCAGCCCCTGCCGCGGACATTGGACTAACTGGCCCTGCTCGCTAACTTCTCTGGTGCTCAGTGTTCTTGCAATAAAATGGGCGCTGCAGGAAGAGGCTGGCCTGGCTTGGGCGTGCGGGGCAAGAGGAGAGTGTGCTGTCACAGGGGGTGTTGCCACAGACGGACCCGGCAGGGCAAGAAGTGAAGGCAGAGGAGCGGGAGGAGCCACAGAAGCAGACACCACTCAGAAGGTGGCTGGGAGGGGACACCCCGGTGGAGGGCATGTCCTCCAGAGAAGACAAGTTCGGTCTTGGGGAGAGAGACAGGAAGGAGACTGGTGTGTCCAGAGATGATAACGGAAGGGAAGGGGGATTCTGAAGAAAATGTGCATTAAGTTTCTGCTCCAGAGCGAGCAAGTGTCCCCAGGAGCAAGATGAGAGGACGGGGATGGTATTGGGAGAGGAAGGAGGAGAAGGCAGACAAGGCTTGAGAGAATTCAGCACTGAAAAACGGAGCAAGGAAAGGAAGCAGAGCCGCCTTGAAGAATTAGAATGGGATAGAATCTGCTGTGTGGGCCGAGACAACAGAGAAGGACGGTGGGTCACAGGAAGCAGGGACTCTTGAGGTCACCTACCTTGGTGCCATATCAGGCTGAACGAGACTCTGCGTTAGTTCTGCGGACCTGGGGCTTCCTGACTGACAGGGAACGAGGCTGTGAGGTGAACGAGCACATTCAGCCTGAGTGTTTAAATGATCTGTGACGACGCAGCGATACAGGATAGATCATGACTACAAACCAGAAAAAAGCCACCAAGATGTGCAATTAGGCACGTTCCTCCCCCCACAGAAGGACACCATGGAAGGGGAGGGGACTAAAGGGAGGTGCTGGGAAGAGACTTTGTGCCTTGGGGGAAAGAGAGAGGGCTGGAAGTGATCAGCCTTTGGTGATTTGATCTTTGGAGTCAAATATTCAGAGACTCTGCACTAGAACATGGGTGAGCGCTACGAATACATTTGGGCCAACAGGCCAGGAACTGGGTATAGATGTGGGTCATTTTTAGTGTGAGAAAGAATAAAATGATCGGCAGAAGGTACCAGATGCTGCCTGTCAGGTTGGGAAGTTTGGTGGAGATGTAGAGTGAAGGAGAAAATCCCACTAGAGCAGGAAAAGCAAAAAGAAAGGGCATGATCTCCGGGAGAGAAGCCGCTGTCAGGGGAGGGTGGGACACATTGATAGCCTGAGACACAGAGAGAGAGAGAAAACTAAGGAAGTGAGACTGGGGGAGTATGGTTTAGAAAGAGCCAAGAAGCAAAGTAGGGGACCCGCCTCCACCCTTTTGAGGCCTGGGCAGCATTAAGAGGTGAGGGGGGCAGATTACCTGGGGCCCAGGGAGGGCAGGTGTCAGTGTGTTTCTTAAGGGACCAGCAGGAAACAGGGGGGAGGGCTGCCTGCCATGCCGAGGCAGCACAGAGAAAGACAGACAAGCTGCAGTGCTGTGGCCCTAAGCGAGGAGGGACAGCTGATGGGGAGAGCCGAAGCAGGGGACATGAAGTTCAGTTCACAGGGCAGTGGTGAAAGAGATCCCTTATCACACTCTCCTGTCCTGCCCTCTCCCGCCCCCACCCCCCGCGGGCACACAAAGCTTGTCTGTCATTAGGGCACGGCCTGCCTGCACTGCACTTTGCCCTGGTAAGGGACTGTCTGGGGTCACAGGCAGGAGGGTCACTGAGACACTCGTAGGCTCCACTTCTGCCCTCTCCTGGCACCCTTTCTGGCCTGTGCGCTGCCCAGGCCCAGCCGAGAGCCCCCTCCCCAGCTGGTGGAGTTTGAAAGAAAGATTTCATCCGGTGCTCAGTTTAGTCAATGGGTGAGAAGAGTTGTCAACTTACGTGGGGTCTGAAGCTTACATAGTTCCGGCCAAAAGAATACAAATTATGTACTAAAGAGAATATGTATTTGTAAGAAAGAAAAAGAAATCAAAATAAATTACAAATATTAAAAAGAACAAGTAAGAAACATCACAAAATCCAGAAAAATAACATATAACATTTGAATTAATTAACTCCCTGGCATGCCGCTATAATATTTTCGATTGCGTCCTTGTAGCAGGCGAAGTAAGGGCTGCGAAGACGCCCGCACCCTACTGCCCGGAGCATGTGGCATGTTTCTGCACGTGGCAGGTGTGATGAGGAGCACGGCTGGAGATGGGAGAGCAGCCTGGGTGATCCAGGTGGGCTCCATCTGATCACAGGACTCTTAAAGCTGGAGAGACTTTGGTAGGGTTGGTGAGAGAAAGAGCTGTGATGTGGGAGAGGGTTGGATGCTAAGTTGCTGGCTTTGATGACAGAAGAAGGGGCCATGAGCAAGGGATGCAGTGGCATCTCCAAGCTGGGAGAGGCAAGGAAACAGATTCTCCCTCCAGAAGGAAGTCTATGAATCAATGGAATCAAGTCTCCACTGCTTGGGCAGGGCTGGGACGGGTTGGCTCGCAGTGGCCCTGTTCTGCCTCTCTGCCGACCTATAATTCTTTAATCTTGCCTGAGTGGCGGGGACTGTGGCTGCTCATTTTCCTTGTGGCAACCCTGAAGGGGGAAGAGTGGACTTTGGCTAGAAGAGAATGGGGTGGGCAGCAAGGTGGGAGTTTCAGTGAGATCTGATTTTGATAAAAGATCCATCAAATAACTTGTTTTGTTTTGTTTTGTTTTGTTTTGTTTTGTTTTGTTTTGTTTTGTTTTGTTTTAGAGAAAGGGTCTTGCTCTGTCATCCAGGCTGGAGTGAGGTGGCACGATTGTAGTTCACTGCAACCTAAATTGTCAGGGCTCAGGCTCCCAAGTAGCTGGGACTACAGGCGTGCACCATCACACCTGGCTCATTATTTTTATGTTTTATAGAGATCGGGTCTCGCTCTTGCTCAGGCTGATCTACAACTCCTGGGCTCAAGAAGCCATCCTCCTGCTTTGGCCTCCCAAAGTGCTGGGATTATAGGTGTGGTCCACCCCAACAAATAAAGACAGGGATCAAGGAATTGATTATTAAAGACAGGGATCAAGGAATTATTTTGATATAAAGAGGTATTACTTCCTCCTCTCCTGCATCAGAAACAGACAGGTGCATCACTTAAACTGCCAACATTTGTGAGGCAATTACACGAGGGGACACCTGGTGTTCTGTGTGAGCGTTCACAGCCTTCCACCTCTGTCCCTGTATCAGAAACTCTTAGAAACATTTGCGAGGGCTGACCTGGCAGGAGGAGGCCGCTATGGAGGCCTGCACCACCCACAGCTGCCCTAAGAAGGGCTCCTGGTTGGACTAAGCCCAGGTACCCAAACAAAGGGTCCATAGGCCTTCAGGGGCCTGTGAGGGGTGGTGTCATTGCTCTCCCTCTCAGGGACAAGTAATCCGCTGATTTGTTCAGGTCCTCTTCTGGAAAGTCCAGACGTCAGGCAAACAGACAGATCCAACTTAAAGGGCCTGCGGGCTGGACTGCTGCCTAGCAGGCCGCCATATTCAAAGGCACCAAAACATTACTAGAACAAACCAGAAATAAGGTGAATCATAGTTTCCTTTCCTACCAAGCAGTCATCACTCTGCGGTGAAGACTTAAAACGCTCCCTGGCAGTGCAGACTAGTCTCTGTAGACTCCCCCATCACACAGGGCGATGCCAGCAAACCACCACCCCTAAGGACAACCTGCTGAACGTGGCAGATGGAGCCAGAAAGAGAATAATATGCGGTGTAGGGCTGTTTACAGGGAATGAGTGGACTGTCTTATTATCTAAACACTTAACATGCCTTCTAACAAGTTGTGTGGTTTGGAAAATTGCACAGAGTAAATTATCTATTTTGACCATAAAGAACATGGTACACATTTTTTATTAAAAGAATATCACTTGCCAACAAGCAAATGAAAAGATGCTCAGCATCATTAATCATAAGGGAAATGCAAGTTGAAACCACAATGAGATATCACCTTGCAAAAACAGAAAATAACAAGTGTTGGCAGGGACGTAGAGAAATTGGAACTCTGTGCTCAGTTGGTGGGAATGTAAAATGTGGTCACTATAGAAAACAGTATGGCAGTTCCTGAAAAAATTAAAAATAGAATTACCATATGATTGAGCAACCACTTTGGGGTATATAGCCAAAACAACTGACAGCAGGGACCTAGAGACATATTTGTACCTGTGTGTTTACAGCAGCATCATTCACAGCAGACAAAAGGTAGAAGCTGCCCCAATGTCTATCAGCTGATGAATGGATGGACAACATGTGGTGCATACATGCGATGGTATATTAATCAGCTTGAAAAGAAGGAATTCTGACATATGCTACAACATGGATGAGCCTTGAGGACATTATGCTAAGTGAATAAGCCAGTTAAAGAAAGACAAATAATATATGATTTTACTTCTATGAGGTGTAGTAGTCAAACTCAGAGAAACAGAAAGTAGAACGGTGGTTTCCGGGACCTGGGGGGAAAGAGAATGGGGAGTGTTGTTTAATAGGTATAGAGTTTCAGTTTTAGAAGATGAAAAAGGTCTGGAGATGGGTTGCACAACAATGCAAACATACTTAACATTATTGAAATGATTAAGATGGTAAAATTTTATGTTATGTGTATCTTGCTACAATTAAGAAAAAGAACATCACTAAATAAATAAATGTTGATTAAATATTTAAAGAATATTAAAAGGGAAACCAAAATATTGGGCTGGCCGGAGTGCCCGTCTCAGTCCTGCCTTATATATGGTGGACGGAACACACACAGAAGGCAGGACGGGAGCCGGAAGGCAGAGAATCGGCAGAAGGGAAGTAGCAAATGTAGTTAAAAGCCCGACAGTGAGGAATAAAGAGATAACCAGGTCAATGAAGCTACACTGGATCCCGAATGACCTGGGCTTTGAACTACATTTGAATCTTTGAGGCCAAGGTGTGTGGCAGTTGAGATTTTTGCCTCCCTTCTCTCCCATGCCTACCTCAGAATTCCTACTATTTAAGGTAACCCAGAGCCTGTTCTTGTATCTAAGCCAGTGATTCTCCAGCCTTAAAGTACATACAAGTCACCTGGGAGGCCCGGGAAAACGCAGACTTCCCCAGAGGGGAGGTCTGGGTGGGCCTGAGCTCCTGCATTTCTGCCAAGCTCCCAGGGGACGCTAACGCTGCCACCCCGCAGCCCACCCCGGGAGCAGCCGCCGGGACCTGGGCAATCCAACCGGGCAGACGGAACATCAACAGTTCACAAAAAGGCTGTGATGGAGAGACGACTGTGTCAATGGGAATATCTTTATGGTTCTAGAAAATGAAGGAAATAAATAGCCATGAAACAACTCACATCACACATCGTTGTTTAAAGTCAATATACATTTGAGGGTGAAATAGTCCCTTCCCGAGAAAAGAGTGTGGGAGGACATGCAGATACATTTTGTTTTCAAATGAGTCAAAGAGCTTTGGAAGCAGGCCCCTGAGATTATCTGAAGGGAAGAGTGGACAACGTGAAGCTGGAGCAACGGAGTCTAAGGGAAAGGGAATAAATAGTTAAAACAAAAGCATTCTCTTAGCGATAGAAACTATTGGAGACAACAAGATTAGTTCATATGTATATTTTATAATGTGAGTATCTATTCACATATATATATATATATATATACACACACACATATATAAATAGAAGAACTGGCCAGAGGGTAAAGAGGAGAAAAAAGCAGGTAAAGGGAAAGCAATATAAGAATACTGAATTTCTAAGACGCAGGTGAGTGAAGCCTATGAAACTGTTGGCTTTGTTCAATGAAGGGAGAAGGCTGGTGAATTTAACTCAGATTTATACGGCTCTGGGTGTTTACACAACGATTTCAAAATCACAGCATCATGTGGAGGTGTCTGTGGGGTAGGTGAGGTGGGGTGGGGAAGGCCCATTATTCCTTTTGCAAATGAGGAAGTTGGGGCTCTGAGGTGTGTCCAAGTTTACGGAGGCAATTACTGACAGAACCTCTTTTCTATTCCCTTTATTTTGGTTCTTCCTGTAGTGTGAATACACTATTGATATGTAAGTTAAATTTTTATCACAAAAATTCATGGGAATAAAATGAGACCATATTTGAAACAAATCAAGTACTGTGAGTGAAAGTTTCCTCTTCATTGGCCGTGGCATGGGGCAGGCCTCCAGAGGAAACTCAAATAGCAAAAACCACATTTTATGAGTTGAGAGAAGTCTGCTGCTATCTTCAGGTGGCCATAAATGAAAATTGGCCTTTGGGCTTCCTAGCGCTCAGTCATCAGATCCAAGAGGTCAGAAGGTTTGTTACCAGCCATGGATCAGGGCTGAGAGTTGGA